TTTCAATACTGACATGATTTATAACATACCTCCTCTGGGTAACTGCTGGTCGACTGTTAGTCCCCGAGGGTATCATAGTGTTTCAATACTGACATGATTTATAACATACCTCCTGTGGGTAACAGGTGGTCGACTGTTAGTCCCCGAGGGTATCATAGTGTTTCAATACTGACATGATTTATAACATACCTCCTCTGGGTAACAGGTGGTCGACTGTTAGTCCCTGAGGGTATCATAGTGTTTCAATACTGACATGATTTATAACATACCTCCTGTGGGTAACAGGTGGTCGACTGTTAGTCCCCGAGGGTATCATAGTGTTTCAATACTGACATGATTTATAACATACCTCCTGTGGGTAACAGGTGGTCGACCGTTAGTCCCCGAGTGGATCATCAGCGTTTGAGTACTGACATGATTTATAACATACCTCCTCTGGGTAACAGGTGGTCGACTGTTAGTCCCCGAGGGTATCATAGTGTTTCAATACTGACATGATTTATAACATACCTCCTATGGGCAACTGCTGGTCGACTGTTAGTCCCCGAGGGTATCATAGTGTTTAAATACTGACATGATTTATAACATACCTCCTGTGGGTAACTGCTGGTCGACTGTTAGTCCCCGAGAGTATCATCAGCGTTTCAATACTGACATGATTTATAACATACCTCCTGTGGGTAACAGGTGGTCGACTGTTAGTCCCCGAGGGTATCATAAGTGTTTCAATACTGACATGATTTATAACATACCTCCTGTGGGTATCTGCTGGTCGACTGCTAGTCCCCGAGGGTATCATAAGTGTTTCAATACTGACATGATTTATAACATACCTCCTGTGGGTATCTGCTGGTCGACTGCTAGTCCCCGAGGGTATCATAAGTGTTTCAATACTGACATGATTTATAACATACCTCCTCTGGGTAACAGGTGGTCGACTGCTAATCCCGACTGTATCATCGCTGTTTTAGTAATGACACGACTTATAACATACATCCTTTGGGTATCTGCTGGTCGACTGCTTGTCCCCAAGTGTATCATCAGTGTTTCAGTATTGACATGATTTATGATTTAAGTAATCATATAAACAAATATGTTCTCAACAAAAGAAAGGACTTTTCTTTTAGATTTTATATTTGTAAATACTCGGTGCTATAAGACGTGTTACGAAAAGGTATATACTCGACGCTGAGGTTGACAAATAAGTATTAAATGTGGGGACTGTGTCAAAACATTGATTATCGACTAAAACAGGTAAAATTCAATTTGCATGATGTTAACCAAGTATCCTACACACTTCTTTCGTTCATTCGAAATTATATTAATTTAGAAAGATTATTTCCTGATATCGTTGCTTATGATTAGGACGGGAAAGGCTTAACATGTGTGCGGAGGAAGGGGTTGATGGTAATTTAAGTATGCACTTCTAGATTTGAAAAAAAAATCACGTAATAAGCCAGTTTGATTTTTTTCATATTAATTACTGTTCTTCGAGCATGATTATCAATCTGACACTCCACTACTTAACCTCGTCATAAAAATGCATGAAATATTTGTCACTGGTCTAACAACAAACAACAATCAATCGATCTTGATTTTGAGGTTGAAAGTTTTTAGGCGGCTAACAGCGTGTTCAACATATATTCGAAATCCCGAACGATAATCGCAAGTTCACTTTTACATTATATTCTTTCTGCTCTTGGTCTACATGTATCTCTAGGTTTACGACGCTTATAGAGGGTAACGAGCGGAGAACGACATGCGGTATATTTTATTAACTAAAATGACAAAATCCTCGGTGAAATCTAATTCCATACCTGGTCAATTGAAGGCAGTAAATTAAACTGTTGAGCATCATCCTGTTGTCCTATGAAACTACTGCGTGTGAATTTTAAAAATATAATGCACATGATTCCTATATATTTTCCACAAAAACATTCGTATGTATGCAATGCCGGTATCTGGAATAAAACTGTGCCCGAGGCTCCGTGTGTGGTCTGTAAATAGCATGACAATTGCTGTCAATTGCCCCTAAAGGTGTGGGCATTTTATGCCACCAACCACGTAGTTATAGCAAAGTATTCAGTGTATTGATTTCACAAAGAATTAGCATCTAAGCATTATTTGTGCACTTGACGCATGAACAGAAACCTCAAAGAGAAATATGCTGAAATATGTATTTAGGATGTCAAACAGGCGAAAAACGAGTCACATTTGACATAGAACCCTTACAAGAGGAATAAAAATTTCAGTTTAAACTTTTTTTTCCAAAGACTTAGTTAAAGTTAAAGAAATAAACCAAAAAACAACATGCCTTAGACTTTTCGGACTGTTTGAACGGCTGGTCTAACGGGTAAGACAATTTCAGACCTCAAAACTACAATTCGAAATGTTTTAAAACTGCATACATACACCTCGCCAAAAGTTAAGCAACACCTAAATGTTTTTGCTTCTATTTTATGTTTTAAAATTAAATTTGATACTGCTTTGTTTCCATATATTTCGTTTATCTATTGTTAATCGACAGGTAAGAATTCAGGTATACATTTTATTCCAATGTACCTTAAAAACAGGTTTTCTAAAGCTACATAAAAGTTTTGCCTTGTAAGTTTCGTGCAATAAAATGTTACTGTTACCCGCAGACTGAATTGTGCCAATTTACGTGCCCGTATACCAGTCAAAAGACCATTGCTGACTCGTAGGCATCGTCAAGCTCGACATTATTGGTCACGTGGTCACCGCAATTGGACTTTGAGACAGTGGCTTCAAGTATTAGTCTGACGAGGGCAGATTCCTCCTACATCATATTGATGGGCACATGCGCGTATGGCGTTCTCCAAATACAGCATACAGGGAACAGCACATCCTTGGAACTACAGCATTTGGTGTTGGAGGTTTGACAGTTTGGTGATATTTTTCATTCGACTGCAAAATGGACCTTTATGTTCTGGATGGGACTATGACGGGTAAAAAATATCGCGATAACATCATCCGGGATATCGTTGTGCCACATTTTGACAATCAATATCTTGCAACTAGACAAATATTTATGGATGATAATGCTAGGCCACACAGAGCATCCATTGTTTCAGATTATTAACGCCAGGAGGCAAATGAAACTATTTCTAGGCCACCCATGTCACCAAATATGAATCCCAGTGAGCATGTCTCGGATGATATTAGTCGAAAAATCAACAACAGGGTTCAAGCTTGTCATAATTTACAGGAATTACGAGCAACCGTGATTGAAGAATGGCAAGGAATTCTGTTAGAACATAACGACGCTTAGTTTAAAGACGACGTGTGGATGAACTTTTCCGAAAGCGTGGAGGATACAATCGCTATTGACCTAAATTATACTTTAATGTATTCACAAATTGTCACTCTCGAGTTTTGATAAGAATTTTGTGTAGAGTGAAGAGCACATTTTTCAAAAACTTCAGTATAAGTTGAAACTTTATCTTGTATTTTATTTTGCCATTTTACAACCATTTGCCCAAAATGAAATAGTCAAAAATTCAATCATGAAAACAGTCCAAACTTACACTTTTCAATTAACATTCTATATGTTATCTTATAAAAACACAAATTCAGTTCATTGTATCGATATTTCGATTAGTTATGAATTCATTAAAAAACGATTCTGGAAAATTATAAGGTGTTGCTTAACTTTTGGCGAGGTGTATATATATATATAGGATGTCTTTTTCTAAAGATTCTCATTTCGTTGGGTCGAAGCAGTTACATTTTACATGAAAATGATATAAGGGAAACTAAGCTTTTCCTGAGTAGACATTAACAGATTATTATATCATAAAATAATTCCCAAGGTTTAATAAGGGCAAGCGAGCCTATAGATGTGTCATGTTGGTCATATGCATGATATACAATTGCCAAAAAAATTCACTAAGGTTCAAACTCCGAAAAAAAAGGCAAACTATATCCAAAATGAATCTATAAAAGGAATTGCACATTTTCTCGGTATATAAATACCGCGGCATTGTATAAAGTTTAGAAGCTCCTAGGTTAGGAGTTTATTACTCAAAACGGTACCCTCTTCTCCCGCTCGCCTGCACGTCCACGCACCCGCCAGCTGGACTTTCATCATATTATAAAATAAGTCGGTTCTGCATTGTTTGCAACACGTCCAAAAGTTCTGACCTCGGGTAAACACCCCTTTAAGTTAAATGGTCCGTCGCTGCTGATTTCGAAAACTCAAAAAATTAAAAATAGCAAGTAAATATTGATTTAATTTATAAAGATTGGTGGGGGCGGGGTAGGGGTTGTTTCTCTCATCTATTACTTCTTTTTCTCGGCTTTCGTTCTCTCTTTTCTTCTGGATTTTATATCCTTTCTGCAATACTCTTGCCTCCTGTCAGGGTTCCAAAAGGAAGAAATATTATGGAATTCATCATTTTTATTCCTCAAGAAATTATTGTTATGGACTTTTTGTTCTATTATGAATATTAATAATGAAATGTCCATAATAAAGAGATCAAAGGGACATCTGTTATAAGGAACAAATATACGTGGACATGATGGTCATCAGTACTATGCAGTTTTAACACAAAATTCAATTGATACACAAGTAATTTAAATCTTTAAATCACTTTTGTGTTTTGATACGATACCCGCATTTAAAGTCTAATTTGTCAACCTCAGCGTCGAGTATATACCATTTCGTAACACGTCTAGTTAAAGCTAAGCTTAGAATATTATTTGTCTCATCACTTATACTCCCCATCTCATTTTGTTCATGCGCAAACTTCAGTAGTAGATATCACGTGGAAACAGTTTTTATATCTTGCTAAGGTTTAAAGCAACGAATCTTTGTAAATTTTTATGATCGAAACCTTTGTAGTGTAGTCTCGTGTCACCAGAGTTAACGTTCTTACTGCATCTATTTGTAGTGATTCTTTTCTTTTCATATTAAGAAAAGAGTATTTAAGTGATTATCGGGAACATTATGATATCCAGTATGAATATAATCAACACATTGAAAGAATTATATTTTTTTAATCAAAAGGGAGGTTTTCCGTTCACATTCTTTCATTTCGTACAATGTAATAATTTTCAAATACTGATACAAATCAATTCACTTTAACAATAGTAAGACACGAATAGTTATGGGCGTTTATGTTCATGTCTTTATCTATTGGTTTTATATCGATACTGTCACCCTTCTGTAATTCAGTGACCACAACTGCTGCATTTGAATGAGAATAATTTCCATGTCCGGTATAATAACTGCTAATAAACCCTTTAACCAGTTCTCTATTATTTTTAGATATTTTGACATGTGCATTAGTAGCATATGACATTATGACGACGGAAATATGGTACAGACCAGGAACTTCACACACAAATATACCAGTGGATTTAAATGAGGTTAGATGTTGATTGGTGATTCCTTCGCTTGTTACGATGTCCGGGAATTTTATAGTTGTTGGTGGTCTGATAGTAACATGAGACGCAGCACATGCTGAAAGGGCAACTGAAAGAAAGAAGAAAATATATTGAAAGCATGAACATATGAAAACAACAGTTAAAGAAAAAAAATCAATTGATCTCTAATGCGGGCCGGATGAGGATCCTCACCCGGCCCGCATTAGAGATCAATTGAGGTGATGTGGATGATTATCTCATTACTGGTAATGAGATAATCATCCACATCACCTTTTTTGCCGTGCTGATCAAAAAGCCAAACAGACTTTTCTATGATAAATTTGGCTTGGTTATAAAGAAGAGTATCCATCAATGCGGATGGTTTGTGATTGTTTCTCGGTCATGTTGAGATTGTTAATATGTAGTCTGATTAGACCGGATTCGTTTTATCTTTTTTTGCCAGTCTCCTTTCGATTTTAGATTTTCCCTGTTTTTGTCGCATCATTAAAATGTTTTTTTTGCAAGTATGAATACAAGGAGGTGTGGGAGTAAACGTCAATTAGACAGCAATCAAACAACACAACCACACTAAATTTGGAGGTCTTTAAAGACAGTTTATAAGGCATCATTATGTTGTCTAATTTTTCCGAAATTTTTGTTTAAGGGCAAGTTAGCTTAAATCGAATTAATACAATTACAATAATACACCACTATGCCATTTCGTTGTTATCGTATGATAAAAATATTTAGATGCATTGAGAAATAGAATAATCCGCTTAATAAGACCACTAACTAAAGGTTGAACCATGAACAGTTGGGTCAAGTATGGATACTACATTCAAGCTTGATATAGCTCTGCATTAAGATTGTGATTAAATATTTGACACAGCAAAGGTTTCTGACACAGAATGAATGTGGTAAAGAAATTAAAAGTTTGAAATTGGACTTTTATGGTCCAATATCCAAAATCTAAATACACGGTTAGATTCAGCATATCCAAGTACACCAAGAATTTAATTACTTTATTTATTAATTCTTATAATTCAATATTTGACATAGCATAGGTTGTGGTCTAGGAACTTTAAAAAAAATGAAATTGGACATTGACCTTTTGTGGTCCAATATCAAAAATCTGAATACATGGTTAGATTCAGCATATCAATGAACCCCAAGAATTCAATTTTCAAAGAAATCAAACTAAGTTTAATTTTGGACCCTTTGCACCTTACTGTGGACTTATTTAAAAACTGGCCCCAAAATTGAAAATATAAATACACGGTTTAATTTTTACCCTTTAGACCTCAATGTAGCCGATTCGATAACGGGTTCCGAAACCAAAAGCTAAATACTCGGTTGGATTCAGCAAAATAAAAAACCCATATATTCAATATTTGTTGAAATCAAACAAATGTTTATTTTTGGACCCCGATTTGGATCGACTTGAAAACTGGGCCCCAAATCAAAAATGTAAATACATTTTTAGATTCAGCATAGATAAGAACCCCAAGAATTCAATTTTTTTTTAATCAAGAAAAGTATAATTTTGGACCCTTTGGACCTCAATGTGGACAAATTTAAAAACGGAGTCTAAAATCCAAAATCTAAATACACGGTTAGATTAAGCATATTACAGAACCCCAATAATTTATTAAACGCTATTGGAATTGGTCAAGAAATAAGTAATTTATACAAAATATCAGAAAAGTATTGATTTTGACTCCTTTTTCCTAAACGGTTAGAGCCATAACCCTCAAAATTAATCACAACCATCCTTTTTTGATATGGAACCTTGTGGTACAATTTCACAGATATCAATAGACGTATACTCAAGTTATTGTCCAGAAACCAGAAAATCCTATCTTCGTGGCCTCTAAATCCTAAATGGGTTAGGGTCAAAACCCCTAAAATCAATCCGAACCTTTCTGAAGAGATCCATTGACTAATTGTCCTGAAACAAGACAAATGCTTATTTGTGGCCCCTTTGTGATCCCTAAATCTTATAAAGTATTGACATTTACTCCAAAAATCAGTCACAGCCTTCCTTATGTGGTATGGAACCTTGTGGTACACTGTAAAATTTCATTGAGATCCATAAAAATTTACTCAAGTTATTGTCTTGAAACAAAATGTCTTCGGACGACGACGACGACGCTGACAACGTCATAACATTATACGACCGCAAAAATCAAAAATGTTGCGGTCGTATAAACATTGATTGATATATTGTTCGTTATATAATAACAACCCTGTAAACGTACCTCTTGAATTCATGTCGTTGACAGTTTTAGCCAAATTCTTCAATTCTTCCATTTCATTCCGTAAAGTAGCAATGTCCTGGTTAACTTTAGTTATTTGGTTCCGGTTATCTCCAATATATTCGTCCATCTTTTGTTGTAAGGCGTCAAACTTGTTGTTAACGTTTCTCAAAACTTTACTCGACACTAAATCTTCTTTAAGCTTTTCGTTTATTCTGCATTCTATTGTTGAGTTGATTATTGCCCGTAGTGGCATTTCTATTGACCGAACAATATGTGAACTAATGTTAGTTGTATTTACAATTGCAACCAGTGGCGCCCCTTTGTTGTCCACTATTGGGGCAACAAACGTCTCAAAGTCCTGACATTTGCATGAGTAATTCATCCACATAAAAATCAAAATCGGCAAATATTTTTGTCCTAACATTTTGAAATACAGAGGGAATACTGCTCATCGACTAAATCCTAATAACTGTCGAAAGTCGGTTAAATATACACATTATATAAAAATTCGATGTTTCGTGTCATAGAAAAGGTTAAGTTCTTCCCGTTCTTAATTTTAAGTAAGTTCCGAAAGTCATTAATTTTACTGCTCTCAGTTAAAAAATAAGCAATATATATACATCCCCCAGTGCTTTTTATTACCTGCCAGGATATATGCCAACTTCACGTCATTTTAAAATTTGATAATATCAGAGCGCAATTTACTGTATTCAGCATATAATTTTTCAAAATTCAATGGCCGCCCTTCACTCCAAATTTTATTTTTCTTTGAATATGTCACAGTTAAAGAGTAGACTCCTTGTATAAATAATAACTATTTTTAAACAAAAGAAATTTCGTTGTTGGAAATACAATGTGGCCAGATAGTGATACTTAGGCCCTGTATGGGGAAAAAAACCATAAGACCGTCTCATTCATGGGTTATCATAACCAACTGTCTGTAGCAATGATAAAATTCAGAAGACTGACAAGATTTACATTTTTTGCACGTTAAGTACCCACAACAGTGAGAAATAAACATCACAGAACAGCGAGAATGATTCAAATGCGACAAGTCAGTGTCAAATCTTCATTTAAAATCATTTAAAAAAATAATAAAAGGTTTGAAGGGACATTGGCTGTCAAATTCATGTTCACCGATTTGACTCAAATTCTCGTATTTGATTTATAGCATACTAAAACGTATATCAAAGTTATAAAAAGTCTAAAATAAACAATTTACAAGGCATTGGCTCGATAATATGTATCATCGTTTCGTGTGTATTTTTGTCTAGACGCCATCTAATTAACTATCGAGTTGACTTCCGAAGACTGCCGATGGTCATATAAGCGATATAAACATAAATATAGATATAAATAGAAAGCGAACTCGTGCAATTGGATTTTTCTAGGTCTCACTTTCAAATGTTGACATTTTTTTTCTTTTAATAACTGAATACGCATAATTCATGCGTAGTCCATCTCTAGCTAAGGGATTAAATTGAAGGTCACATGAATGAGGATTCAATGAGGTCTAATTATGCACTTGCAAGTCGATGTTTCTTAGCTTATTTTGACAAAATTGGCCCATACTGCCTGCTAAAAGCGAATTATTATTTCACCATTTCACTTTCATTAATGATTGAACAAACAAAAAAATCATATTTTAATTTTTTTTATATATCTCGTAGCTAGTGCGCCTTTAAAGGTATTGAATAAATACAGGTTTTAGCGAATTGTTTGAGTAACCTAAACTTTTCAAGAAGGACATATTCCATTTCTTACAACAATATAATGTATAAGAATAAGAATAATAGTAAGAATATTTTATTTCAAATTAAAGGGCCCTATAAAGAGCTTTTATCACATTACATACAAATACATAAGATAAGACATAAATTGAAATGCATAAAAGAACACAACACCGTTTTACAATAACTGTTATATAAGGCCAAGACAGAACCAGATAATACAAACAACATGTATAAAATATACCACTCCGAATAAGTATACGTGTGGCTAATTTGCATTTATTATCTTTGAACGTCTCCTAATCTCCAGATTTTTAGATAAATACTTTCCCAAACATTTATATACATTAAAATTTTCTTGTGTAAATAGCCATGAAAACTTTGAAAGATTGTCTAAAAGATTGAAATTATTGCAAGTTAAAGAAAATATCAGAAAAATCATTTCTATTATCAACATATAGTGGGCATTCAGTCACAAAGTGTATCTCATCCTCAACTTTATTTCATGTACAGTATAAACATTTTCTAAGTGTATATATAAACGCCAAAAAAGTAAGGAATAATTCAATTAGATGACGATGAGTAAAACTGAAGATATACAAATCGAAATCGTGTTTTCGGTGTTCCACGATACAAATATTTATGAACGTAAAATAGAGGAACTATTTGTAAATCCATGAACTGAGTTTAATCAAGAAACTAGTATATTATCATCAATAGTAAAGACAGTCTCTTAATTCCTACTTTTCTAGACCTAGGGCGATTTGCAAATTGACACAACAATTTGATTAAAAAAAAACGTATATTGACCTCTAGACGTCTTTTGTTTCTTTGTATCGTTTGGTTCCTGTCGCATGAATGTCGTCCAATATTTCCTTTTATTCATACTACGGCTTAAGTAATGTGGGAAGTTTTTTTTTATATATATCTTACTAAGATTTAATTCGGTACCACTTTGAAGATTTTATTGAGGAAAATGGTTTGTTTTACATATTATGCATTTGATAGAAACAAGATAAATCAGGCCTTTAGTTTTCTAATTTAAATTTTACATATGTCATTTATAGCTGACTATGCGGGATTGTTTTTGCTCATTGTTGAACTATAGTTGTTAATTTTTGTGTCATTTGGTCTCTTGTGGAATGTTGACTCATTGGCAATCTTATCAGATCTTCCTATTTTCATAGATTGTCATGATTGGTTAATATTCACCCATTGATAGCCATGATTGGTTAATATTCACTCATTGATTGTCATGGTTGGTTAATATTTATCCATTGATTGCCATGATTGGTTAATATTCACCCATACATTGCCATGATTGGTTATTATTTAACCAATGATTGTCATGATTGGTTAATATTTACCCATTTAATTGATTGCCCTGATTGGTTAATATTGACCCATTGATTGCCATGATTGGTTAATATTCACCCATTGGATTGCCATGATTGGTTAATATTCACCCATTTGATTGCCATGATTGGTTAATATTTAAATTTGATTGCCATGATTGGTTAATATTTACCTATTGATTGCAATGATTGGTTAATATTCACCCATTGGATTGCCATGATTGGTTAATATTCACCCATTGATTGCCATGATTGGTTAATATTCACCCATTGATTCCCATGATTGGTTAATATTCACCCATTGGATTGCCATGATTGGTTTATATTCACCCATTAGATTGCCATGATTTGGTAATATTTACCCATTGGATTGCAATGTTTGGTTAATATTCACCCATTGGATTGCCATGATTGGTTTATATTTACCCATTGGATTGCCATGATTGGTTAATATTCACCCATTGGATTGCCATGATTGGTTAATATTCACCCATTGGATTGCCAAGACTGGGTTATATTCACCCATAAGATTGCAATGATTGGTTAATATTCACTCATTGGATTGCCGTGAATGGTTAATATTCACCCATTGGATTGCCAAGATTGGTTAATATTCACCCATTGGATTGCCATGATTGATTAATACTTATTGATACCAAATCACTGGAGTATGGTTTTTCACTGAATGAATTCATTAACAAACTGTGAAATATGTTAGTCTTGTGGTTAGAGGAAAATAGGGGCAATAGCATGTTTGAGATTTTATAATGTTTTTAGGTCAAGATGACATGGTTCATTTACAAACACAAGGAAATTGAGTTTTTGTCCTAATACAAAATGTACTTACATTTATTGTGAAGCCGTCATGACGAAGGAATATTATAGTATCTTGTTGTTCCAAATAAATATAGATTAAGGCATTTGTTTTGTTTTTTCGCTATTAATACATAAACTTTTTTTTATAAACTTGACAATGAACAACACGTGCAGTGTTGAGCAGGCGTCTTTTATGAGATGCCGAAACTGGTTCCACCTGTGAAGCACCTGCTTTCTTTCGATTTTTGTGGATATCTATTATTATATAGTTATTCGTGGTATTGTTTGCCTTTTATTGTTTCTGAATTGTCTATTCGTCATTTGTTTATGTCTCGCTTTTCTGAACACAAACACAGTACAATAAAAAAGTATCCTTTTGTTAAATTATCCGTTGATAAGTCTTGAAATATTTAAGATACTAAAGTTCCAAATGACTACAACCAAAGTTGACCTGAGGTGAATTCAGTTATTCCTTTGTCTCTTTTTGTCATATAATAGTAGTTCCTCACGTATTCCTGAGTTTGTTTATATACATACTTTATACTTTATTGCAAAAAGTAAAACCCTGACGGGTTAAGATGCAAACATAATAGACATATACACAAGAAGCATACAATACATTAAAAGTTCTAAATGAATCATTCGTTGGTGAATGTAAATCAAGACGCAGCAACTTTATAGTGTGATGTTCAAATTTTCTAGCATTGAGTCAATTCTGGCTGACTAATACAGTAGTCAGTGCTTCAGTAATGACATGATTTAGAACATACCTGTCCTCTACGGGGTATCTTCTGGTTGACTGCTAATCCATAAAGGTATCGTCAGCTCAGTAATCAGTGTGTCAGAACTTACAAGATTTGTAATATACCTTTCTTCAACTTTTGAATACAGTTTTGGATATCAAATATGTTGACCTGATAATTTCCCAACAGACATTAATTGTTGTGATGCATATCTGCAACTTCCAAGCAAGGACCGAAGCTCATAAACTCGGAAGTCTACGCAGTCGGGAAAGTTCGGAGAGCCGACAACCTTGCTTCGGAAGTTGGCGTATCTGATGCATACAGGTAAAAAAAGTTCCAACTACTTCAGTCAATGCTGACCTTAGGTGGATAAGGCTATTCTTTTTAGGTCCTTTTTGGTAATATCCCTGCACACGAATTCAAGTATTTATAAATACTTAGCTTTAAAGTTTTTGAATTTGAGCGGGTTTTTTATGAAAAGTAATCCAGAATATTAAAGCGCTTCTTCAGTCGCACCAAACTTATTAAGTGCTATTGTCAGAAATATATTGTGAATGTACTAAGCGTGTTGCCCTTATCTCTGTTTGTGATTGAGAATTGTATCCACATAAATAAATAGCTGGCGTCTGATCAGTTATGCATTTGTATCGTTTATCGTAAATATGTTGGGTATATGTTGATATGATAAAAATGAAATTGCAACACCCCCACCCCAATAAAAGACATCATATGTTTCAAATTCTCTCGGTTAAAATTGACCGCTGGTGTTTTTGGCCATTCTTTTGCATGTTACTCCCTTTTGGTTAAAAGCTCCTCCTCATACATTCGAGTATTTATACATCCTTGACTTTCAAATTGAGGGTTTGGGCGTTCCTTTTGCAGGTATATCCGGAATAGCGTTTTGCACTCACTGCAAACTTTTGTAAAGCTATTTTCACAATTCCCCTATACCGGTTTCCCGTTTAAGTCTTTTTAACGTACTGAACGCGTAGGCGCATTCGGTTGTGGTTTATTTAGACAAACTGAATCTGATTTTACTTGTAAAATTGTAGGGAGTTCATAAATGAAAAACTTGAATAAATTGGGACTCAAAACATCTTCTTGTCCTTCTCCAATCTCTGCTGTAAAAAAACTCCTTTTGTTGTTCACTTTTACACATAACCTACATGTATCATTTCAATACATAGATGTCAATATTCTACAAAAATAATTATTGATATTACAAAGTTATATTATATAGAAACATATTGTTGAAGATCGTATATTGACACCAAGCTGCCTCCCTTTGTTGTTGGGATTCTGCCGCAACAACTTATACTCCAGATCTCATTTTATTTATACTCAGGCTACGGAAGTAGATTTCACGTGGAAATTTTGTTTTATATCTCGCTTAGGTTTAAAGCAACGAATCTTTGTAAAGTCTTATGATCGAGTAGTCTCGTTTCACCAGAGTTATCGTTCTTACTGCATACTGCACGTCTGGATGGTCGAGACTATTTGTAATGATACTTTCTTTTCATATTGAGAAAAGAGTATAATATTAGAGTTGATCGCAAATCGTTTATCGGAAACAATATGATATAATCAACACATTGAAAGAATATTTTTTAATCAAAAGGGAGGTTTTCCGTTCACATTCTTTCATTTCGTGCATTGTTATAAATTTCAAATACTGATACAAATCAATTCACTTTAACTATAGTAAGACACGATTAGTTATAGCCGTTTATGTTCATGTTTTATCAATTGGTTTTATATCGATACTGTCACCTTTTTAAGCATTTTTCCCCGCCACTGTATATGTCCTGAAAACAAATTCTAGACTCTCTCTCTCTCTCTCTCTCTCTCTCGGGAGAAATCAAAGTGGTGAAGATGATGAAAATAGCTTTATTTGTAATTATAAAAGATATCCAGTAATGTAGGAGTAACGACCATTGTGTATTTTCCCTCCAGCTGTTAGTTTGATGTACAGTCGATCTCCCTTTTTCAAATATAAGACGATATTTTGTGTCTGCGAATTTGCATGATATGTTTTAGCTGCATACCCATATGAGAAAGTAGCATCATTCTTGAACCATATATAGTTTACGTAGTGATTTCCGTAAGACATGATCATACATCCCAAACTGTAAAGTCCATTCTGTGGTGCTGTAAAAACTCCAGTTAAAGGACTATAGTGCTTCCCTATGTTCGTTTCTACGTCATCGAATTTAATAACATAACCAACTGACGGCGAACTTTTGGCATATGCCAAGAATGCAACTCTGTCAACTGAAACGACAAAAAAAAATATTGTAATTTATAGATTATACATCCTTCATTGATTACTATGCAGGACGAAAGGAAAATTTTATGTTCTCCGAAAAGAATGTAAAAAAATGCTTTGTTTAAATGTCATGTACGTATTAAAGTATCTCAAATTTAAATACAATGTACCTTGTTTACATTTGTGCGATTGCCTTCGTATACCGGATTGTAGCTAATCATTGAGTATAACAATCGTCTTCCTTTTGATCCTCCATATTGTATCATCCGCCTATTTTTGAACATAAGATTTAATTTTTTTCAATTATGGACAAAAGGCATTGTGGGGTACACGTCAATTAGACAGCAACCAAACAACACAACCACGCCACATTTAGAGATATTTTAAGACACTTTGGTTCTTAGTGTTTTAAAAGGTCGTTGACGGGTATAAAAATTATGGTCAAATTTGTCCTAAATCTTAATTTTAGGCAAATAAAATTACAATAAGAATAGCAATTCACCGTGTCGTTTCGTAGTTATCGTATGCTAAAAATATTTAGATTCATTATGAAAAATTGATTGATATGTTCGTTATATTTCCCTACAAACTTACCTCTTGAATTCACTGTTGCATTTAAACCTTCCAGCTTTTCAGCTATATCTTTGTTCTCAGAACTGACAGTTTTTGCCAAATTTTTTAATATTTCCATTTCTTTCCGTAATGTAGCAATGTCCAGGTTAACTTCAGTCAATTGGTTCCGGTTATCTCCAATATGTTTGTCCATTTTTTGTTGTAAGTTATCAAGCTGATTGTTTACTTCCCCCAATTTTTGACGCGACACTTTATGTCTTCTTTTAACTTTTCGTTTATTTTGCATTCTATTGTTGAGTTGATTATCTCCCGTAATGGCATTTCTATTGATCGGACAATATGTGAACTAATGTTAGTTGTATTTACAATTGCAACCAGTGGCGCCCCATTGTTGTCCACTATCGGGGCAACAAACGTCTCTAAGTCCTGACATTTGCATGAGTGATATATCCACATAAAAATCAAAATCGGCAAATATTTTTGTCTCAACATTTTGAAATACAGTGTAAATACTTACTGTTCATCGATTAGCACATACTTACAACTTCTCGTCCAATCAAATTGCTTATATTTGCCTTCTAATTTTCATAGTACATACTTTTCCTGTGTACTAAGTAACTACGCATGAATGACCACAAGGGTAAGATTTCATTGTATCGTAATCAAGATATTTAAAACAAAAATTGCCACTGGCTATTTTGAAATAAAATGCTGTGTTCCAAATTAAATTAAATAGTTTGTAATTAGTTTTCATGTTGATTTTTAAATATCCTGCTATTAAAATCTTTGGATCTAAAAAATGTTTTTGACAATTGCAAATTTTATCATTTAAATAAAGGGTAATACATATGGTTCTTTATACCTTGATTAGAGTACAACGATATCTTAAAATTATGATAATGTATCATCCATGCAATTACTTTGTACACAGAAAAGTGTGTACTATGAAACCTTGTGAAGGAAAATTAAAGCAACTTGGTGATAATCAGTTTTTAAACATTCTTAAGGAAGGTGATCTATTTCGTCATGAATTGATTGATTTATTGATTATTGGTTGCTTAATGTCCAGTGGCAAATATTTCATGCATGTTTAGGACGATGTCATGAATTGAAAAACTGTGATTATGTCTGAAGATAATGTGCCACCATTATACATATATAAACATATTCTGATAAATCTTTTAGTTTTTACTTTGAAATAATAAAAAAAAACACACAAAACACAAAACACAAAACCTATAATCTCTGATCTATTGGTAGTTGCTTTTTAATGCCTATCTGCTAGACTATATCTATGGGGACAAACTATTTAATGTTTCAAATTTATTATAGCTTTAGTTTTACTGTGAAATTAAAAAATGTTTTCAAAACATGTAAAGCTTCCACTGCAATTTAATTATTGCCTGCTTTTGGTCAAATTATTTTGTCATCTTACCATGTAAGAAGAACATGTATAGTAAAACACCGCTTTATATCAGTATACATACTTACACCAGTAGCTACCATCTTTTTATTCTGGAGTGAAGGGCCTTTTGAAATCACATATTTTACAATGATACTAGTGAGTAGATTTACAAAACTTCGTTAATGAGCTCCTTTTTACAAACACCTGTGATACAAGTAGTCAGCCAAAATAAACTATCAATAGACCAATTAAAAGATTACTCGAGTTGAAAATATGTGCTAAATTGGATAGTCTATGAAAAGGTATATACTATGAAATTAAGAGCTCGGGGCAAGCCCCTCGCTCTAAATTTCATAGTATATACCTTTCCATAGACTAACCTAGACCTAAATCCCAACAACTGTAGAAAATGGGTTAAATATACACATTATTTAACAATTCGATGGTTCGTGTCACGTAAATGGTTAAGTGCTTCTCGTTCTTAATTTTAAGTAAGTTCCGAAAGTCATTGATTTTACTGCTGTCAGTAAAAAGATGAACAATATAAAGATTTATCAAGTGCTTTTAATTACCTCTAAGGATATGTCAACTTCATGTCATTTTAAAATTAGAAAATATCAGAACGTTATTTTACTGTACTCAGCATATCATTTTTCAAAATCCAATGGCCGCCCTTCACTTCGAATTATATTTTCTTTTAACATGTTTAAAGACTCCTTGTTTAAATAATAAATATTTTTAAACAAAAGAAATTTCGTTGTTGGAAATGCAATGTGGCCAGATAGTGATACTTAGACCCTACATGTATGGAAAAATAACCACAAGACCGTCTCATTCATGGATTATAACCAACTGTCTGTAGCAATGATAAAATTCAGAGGACGGCCAAGAGTAACATTTTTGGCACCTTAAGTACCCATTTTACAATTGTCATTTATAGCTGGCTATGCGGTATGGTTTTTGCTCATTGTTGAAGGTCGTGCGGTTACCTATAGTTGTTAATTTCTGTGTCATTTGGTCTTTGGTGGAATGTTGTCTCATTGGCAATCATACCACATCTTCCTATTTTTATAGATGATGAAAGTTGGTGGTTGACAATCAGTTTAACATTCCTGCCATGATTGCTTAATATTCACCCATTTATTACAATGATTGGTTGAAAAAATTTACCCATTGATTGCCATGATTGGTTAATATTCACCCATTGATTGCCATGATTGGTCAATATTCACTCATTGATTGCCTTGATTGGTTAATATTTACCCATTTGGATCATTGGATTGCCATGATTGGGTTATATTTACCCATTGATACCATACCACTGGATTATGGTTACATTTTTCACTGAATGAATTCATCAACTAACTGAGAAACATGTAAGTCTTGCGGTTAGTAGAAAATAGGGGTACTTCATGTTTGTGATTATTTATTTTTTATGGGACAATGACACGGTCCATTTACAGAAGCAAGAACATCGAATTGTAGTCCTTTCCTTTATTTTAATGACATGACGAGCGAATATTATGGGATCTTGTTCTTCCAAATGAATATATTATAGATTTTAGTGTCTGTATATATATGTTTCCTTTATGACTTGACAATGAGCAACGTATGTGGTGTCTAGCATGCGTCCGAAACTGGGTTCACTTGTGAAGCACCTGATTTCATTTCGATTTTGGGGGGATATATGTAATTATATACTTTTCGTGGTACGTTTTGCCGTTCGTTGTCTCGAGCTCTGAATTATCTATTCGTCACTTTCGTTCGTTCTCTCTCTCCTTTCTTTGAACATAAAATCTTAAAGACATCACAATAAATCAAGTATAGTTATCTTTAAAATTCCCCGTTGATAAGTATAGAAATGGTTAAGAAACAATAAGGTTCAAACTCCTTCAGGCAATAATGTTGACCTTTTTTAGATTTGGCCATTCCTTTATGTCCTTTTTTGTCATATTGTACCTCACGTTTTCAGGTATCTATACATCATTGCTGTTAGTCCCAAGGTTTATTAGCAGCTCAGTATAGTCTGTGCTTCGATACTGACATGGTTTTTAATAAACCTTTCTTAATTCTCCATTGGTAGATTTAGAAATTATTTATAATTTAAGGTTCCAACTACTGCAGGCAATGTTGACCAAGGTGGATATGGCTATCCTTTTTAGGTATTTTTTGGTAAAACATCTGCTCACGTATTCAAGTATTAAAAAGTAATTGGAGTTCAAGTTTTTGAAAATGAGCGGTTTTTTTTATGAAAATATTTTCAGCTTCCCAATTGTGAACTTCCCATTTCTATGTAGCAACATTCCAGCAGCACCTGCATTATACGAAGTATATATCTTCCAGTTGATACAATATTCTAGGGCTTGTATTTCCTATCATGATTTCCTTGATAGAGGATTGCTGCTCACAAGGAAGCTATTAAAACAAGAGTTCCAAGTGATGAAGTTGAAATCGTCCTTTCATAAATTTTACGGACGACATCACGAGTTGGTTGACCGTTATGGAATATCCGTTTTACAGATGATTACGCACATGTTCCAATTGTCGTAGCTGCAATCCCGTCCCCTTTTCCCCGAATGTGACCTACAGAATTAGACTTATTACCGGGTTTGTACTAAAATGAGCAACACGACGGGTGCCACATGTGGAGCAGGATCTGCGTACCCTTCCGTTGCACCTGAGATCAACTCAAGTTTTTGGTGGGGTTCGTGTTGCTCAGTCTTTGGTTTTCTATGTTGTGTTTTGTGTACTGTTGTTTGTCTGATTGTCTTTTTTCTTTTTTAACCATGGCGTTGTTAGTTTATTTTCGACTTATGAGTTTGATTAAATGTCTCTTTGGTTTCCTTTGCCTCTCTTTTAATCCAGAAATTTAAAAAAACCGCTTCTTCAGTCGTACCAAATTTATAAAGTGCAATTTTCATTTTTAATTTGAAATATGTTGTGAGTGTGCAAAGCGTGATGCCCATATCTTTGTTTTTTATTGGGATCCAAGTGGCTATTTAATCGGCTTCTACTATGGTGTATATTGAATGTTACTAAAGTACAGCAGCTCCTCATATTTTGCTATGCTATTTGGTTATATCTGTTTTCTGTTGCACAATAGCTTCATTTTAAGAACCATTTTGGGATTTTTCGCTGTACTCGGCCTTTAATAATACAGCTGGCGTTTCAAAATTTGAGTATGTATATTGTTAATCGTCCTTATAAGTAAGGTATATTGAGTAAACGTAAATGAGACGTAATTTAGACTTCAACCCAACGTTCCCCCAACCCCCTCCCAACTTTTTAAAGCACTATATTTTTCAAGACGCTAAGATTTCAATGCCGTCGGTTAAACTTGGCCGTAGTTGTCCATTCTTTTACATGTTCTCCCTTTTGGTCATATAGCTCCTTATGCCGTAGAGTACCGGTATTTATACATATACTTGGCTTTCATATGTTCAGTTTGGGCGTTCCCGTTCAAGTAATGGACGGACCTGTGAGTACATTCAGTTTTGGCTTATTGTCTCAATAGCTTTAATATCGATGGATATTTATTCGGCCGCAATAACTGTAATATTACTTGACCAGACAGGGTTATTGTAAATATTTGTCTTGTTTATAAATTTTTGCTGTGTCATTGTGTTACTTTAATATTGATGGGTCAGGTACAAAATGTATTTATGTTGAACTGTAATGTCCGCAATATTGGTGGAAGGACAAGCAGGTTGTATGTGTTATCCTCTGTATGTATTATCCTCTGTATGTGTTATCCTCTGCATTTGTTATCCTCTGTGTGTATTATCCTCTGTATGTATTATCCTCTGTATGTATTATCCTCTGTATTTGCTATCCTCTGTATGTATTATCCTCTGTATGTGTTATCCTCTGTATTTGTTATCCTCTGTGTGTATTATCCTCTGTATGTATTATCCTCTGTATGTATTATCCTCTGTATGTGTTATCCTCTGTATGTATTATCCTCTGTATGTGTTATCCTCTGTATTTGTTATCCTCTGTATGTATTATCCTCTGTGTGTATTATCCTCTGTATGTATTATCATCTGTATGTATTATCCTCTGTATGTATTATCCTCTGTATGTGTTATCTTCTGTATGTATTATCCTCTTTATGTATTATCCTCTGTATGTATTATCCTCTGTATGTATTATCCTCTTTATGTATTATCCTCTGTATGTGTTATCCTCTGTATGTATTATCCTCTGTATGTGTTATCCTCTGTATTTGTTATCCTCTGTATGTATTATCCTCTGTGTGTATTATCCTCTGTATGTATTATCCTCTGTATGTATTATCCTCTGTATGTGTTATCTTCTGTATGTATTATCCTCTTTATGTATTATCCTCTGTATGTATTATCCTCTGTATGTATTATCCTCTGTATTTGCTATCCTCTGTATGTATTATCCTCTGTATGTGTTATCCTCTGTATTTGTTATCCTCTGTGTGTATTATCCTCTGTATGTATTATCCTCTGTATGTATTATCCTCTGTATGTGTTATCCTCTGTATGTATTATCCTCTGTATGTGTTATCCTCTGTATTTGTTATCCTCTGTATGTATTATCCTCTGTGTGTATTATCCTCTGTATGTATTATCATCTGTATGTATTATCCTCTGTATGTATTATCCTCTGTATGTGTTATCTTCTGTATGTATTATCCTCTTTATGTATTATCCTCTGTATGTATTATCCTCTTTATGTATTATCCTCTGTATGTGTTATCCTCTGT